AAACATGGGCAATTTCATCTTTTACTTTCTTTTTTTTTTTTCTCTTTTCCTTTTCCTTTTCCTCTTCTTCTTTTTTTTTTTTTTCTGGTTTCCCTCCGCCAGCCATAGCAAGCGCCGGCGGAGGTGGCCGGCCTCAGGCGGAGGCCACCCTCGCCGACGTCGGGCGACCCTCGCCCTACGTCGGGCGACCCTCACCCGACCCTCGCCAACATCTGCGGCCCTCGCCCGACGCCGGCGAGGGCGGCCTCTGCCGGCGCCTGCTATGGCCGGCAGAGTGAAACGAGAAAAAAAAAAGAAAAAGAAGAAGCGGAAGAGGAAAAGGAAAATGAAAAGAGAAAAAAAATAAAAGACGAAATTGCCCATGTTCCTATCGCCGGAACTGTAACGTGCTTGCCGACTAGTGAGCATTTGACCGGCCGGCGAACCCAGGTCCTTATTTGAGACTAAATGGGCACTTCATACCCCTATTTGATACTGATTGGGCACTTCAGGTCCTTATTTGACACTTTGGACCCCTTTTTGAGAAAATGGCCCCACTTTGGGTACCAAATTGAAATTTTCCCACATAACAATTTAGCTTATAAAACATTCTTGACATAAAAAAAAAAACCTATCAATGATGGTAATAAGAGTATAAAAGAAAACTAGGAATAACGTACTTACAATTAAAATATTCATATATTCAAGATAAAAGCTAAAATGTAAAAGTATTAGTGAGCACACAGTCTTCTATGTTCAAAACTTTGACTATCTAAACATTCAAATAATTGTATACTTTTTAAACCTAACTTCTCTATTAGGAAGCTTCTCTTCTGGTCGGTTGTTGAATTTTGGTTTTTGGGGTCAAATTATACTTAACATTCTAGATAACTCATATGAGAAAAGGTTCAAAGTTGAGAACATCAACTTTACATTTTTCCCTCATTTATAATAATTTATTTCTAGACTATCATGCTTTCAAAGTTGCTTAGGAACTTTCATGTCATACAATTTGGGTGTATGAATGAGACAAACTTAACTCCTAAGACTCCTAGTTCAGTAAAATTGCAACTTATATTATATATATAAGCTATTGCAAATGGAGCAATCTTAGGGTTTTACAATTTTTTTTAGCCATTTTTCTTGGCTGGCAATATGACCACTTTTATATCTCCCCCCCAATAATCTATTCATTATATTTGCTCCTTTCTCTCTCTTCATTATTTCAATATCATTTTTATAACTCCTCATCATTTAAAAAGTGTGTCTACTAAAATGTAGAAATTTATACAAAAGAAGAAATAATGCAAGATATTTGAGATACTGAAGAGAAGTATCTAGAGTGGCTCTACCATAATAATTAATTTATGTTTATAATACTTTATTAAGGCAAAAAGAAAGAGTATAGCGAAATTCCTTATTTTATTTTTAATGTTACATCACCAAAAGACTTGAAAAGAAAGTTGTAAAATTATTCAAAGGCCAAACTTCGAGGACATCTTCGTTAGTAAAGCATCATTTTCTCCCTCCTCAGTTGCTCGGCATTTTTTTTTATCAGGGTAGGTTCGTGTGGCTTGTCAAAAGAAGATACTCAAAATAAAATAAAGAAATTAATCAACGAATAATGATTTGACCTGTGAAAACATCTGGAATTCATCATAACAATCAAAACATCATCAAAAGCTTACTCTAAAACATGCCCAAAAAGGAAGGCTATCAAGTGCTTATCTTGAAGTTTGCCATTGTTATAATTATCAATTATGGACAATCCAGGAAAGGAAGTGAAATGATGTTAAATGTCAATCATGCCATGAAATTCTAGAGCAAATTTTAGTCCATGGTCATTGGCATATTCAATAGGACAATCGCGACTAAGAAAGGGGGACATATGTGTTTTTCCTTGTTGCATATTTATAATTTAAAATTATATGTGCTAATTGGGGCGTACATTAGGAAAATTTATATTTATGATTTGGGTGTCTTCACAACCTCAATTGAGTGGGACTGATGATGGGACAGGACAATGTTCACGACCCCCATACCCTTTAATCCTCCTCCTTGTCCGTGCCTCCTCCAACTGTGCCAGCTAGACAAAATTTCCCTCGCTGACCATATACACGATGGACATTTTAAAGGACATCATGTTGGATCAAATGCAGACATTTAGCTTACAATGCATTCTTAAAACTAATGATTTAATAATGACAACATAAATGTTATGTAAAATTCAACTCAATGACTACTTTGACAAAAAAATTTCTTACATGGAAGATAAAATCTTAGCAATGATGATAATAATAGAATTAAATAAAACTTAGAATAACGTACTCACAGTTATAAAAAAAGAAAAAAGAAAAATAAATATGTAAGGCTGAAAGTGGCAAACGAGGAGAGGCCAAGCCAAGTTCCATCCATGTTGCCTCTGTATGTCAAGGATATGAGGTGATGTGTTCGATGTGTTTAACAAAAATAAAATTTCATTGGCTAAAAATTTAAGATAAAGGCAAAATGTAGAAGTATGAGTCAACACACCTCTTCTACGTTTAAAACTTTGACTATCTAAACATTCAAAAAATTATTTACATGTTAAACCTAACTTTTGTGTTAGGTAACTAGTGCGTTTATAAATATATATATTTATAATGAAAGCTATTGCAAATGTAGCAATCTAGAGGTTCGCAAGTCCTTTTAGCAATTTTATCTTATTCGGCAATATTTCCCTCTCTTCATTATTTCAATATCATTTTTGTAACTCCTCATCACTTAAAAACTGTGTTCTAATTTAATGTAGAAAGTCACACAAAAGAAGATATAATATATGGAATATGTTTGAGATATGGAAGAAAAGTACCTAGAATGGCTCAAGCAAAATAATTTTATGTTTACAATATGATGTAGAATCTAATATTTATGTGCATATAATTTTGTTAATTGGTGGATCTAAACTACTCTAAATAATATGTCGTATCAGTACTTTCTGTATTTTGTTTTGTGTAATTATAACTATTATATTCTCCTCGGTCCCTCCCGGTTTTTCATTATTTTATCACCTTATCTCTTGACAACCTGTAATTAAATGAATTTCTTATCTATTTGTACAAAATATTAGACAATATTAAAACGGCAGAAAGTACATAGCAAAGAATATTAACAAAACTTCAACAAAGAATAATATGATGGTGCCATTCGTATAGATATTTCATACTTATTAATTGCTTTAAACATTGTAACTCTTTCGCATTTTATGCAGAAAATTCTCCGCAACGCCCGGGTTTTTGCCTAGTATGTACATGTGAATTAGATCCCTTACATGAGCCATGCGTATGCCACATAGAAGATGAATGCGAGTTGTTTTTAGCGGAGAATAGATAGATGAATTTCGAAAATGATGTATGCAGACATGAAAGTAGATGGTTTGTTATGTAATTGTTTAGAGATATTAATTTTCATGAACACAATATTAAATTTTCTCTTAACATCTTTCATAAAAAGGTACTTTAAACATTTGAAGGGTGGACACTAAATTTTGAAATTTTGGTTTTTATACAGTTTGAATATTGCATTTAATATACCTTACCAAAAAAAGAATATTGCATTTAATATACAATTTCCCATATCTTTGACAAACAAGCCTTTAGGACTTGTCATCATCAAGCATCAGCATAAACATTTCTATCAACAAACTTTCTCTCAATGATCATTTAAAATATTCAGAAAAAAAATGTCATTGTCAAATTAAATTTGCAGAATATTAGTTGGATGAGTTTTTCAATGCTTCGCCCGATTAGTTCCTCAATTGCGTGGGCCAACAGCAAAAGCATAAAAAATTTCCTTTTTGAACAAGTGACTTAGACCCCAGATTTTGGAAATTAGAGCACATGTTAACCTAACTCCCTCACCTAAAATGTTGCCATAATCCTAATTAACTCACCTAATGACCTGATTTGGTCAATTTCCAAGGGTTGGGAAAACTCCATATCTTTTCATTTTCAAACTTGTCGAAAGCGTACCTTTGAATTCGCCAGAGGTGCGAATTATAAGAGATTTTAAATGAATTTGGTTACAAACATTTTAATTCATAGTGTGGTAAAAAAAATGTATCGCTTGAACGGAGCACTTGATTTCTATACATAAGCTTAAAGCTTAAGTTTAATACTTAATTTTTAAATATTATATCATATCTTAATCTAATAGGCTAAGCTTTTAAAACAGTTGATGGCGATATTACAAAAGCATACCTTTTTAATAGAATTAAACATTCAATATTGAGCAACAAAAAGGGTAGAAAATAAAAGGGGTTGGGAGTGGGACAAAGATAAAAAAAAAAACTGGAATTTCGAGCCTTTAAAGTGCAACTAATTGAGTAGAGTACTTAAAGAGGCTGTTGATCGACTCTAGATTAACATCACAAGTACATGAATTTGTCAATAAATCAAGGGGATTAATCCTAATAAATGAACTGTGATAAATTATAAAGATTGCTTCTTTCAAAATCAGCCCATTGCCTAATAAGCCCTCACCAAAACCATCCCTCCTATAATAATAAATTTATTGGCAAAAATGTTTGGTTACCAATTTATGGTACGTTCGTTTTATTGAAAATTTCATGATAAAATAAAACATTTTTCATGGAAGTTTTTCATTTTTCTTACGTGGCTCAGGAAATGCAATTTGCTCCTTATTAAAAGGAGAAGTAATTTTTCTCTAATCTAAGCTTTTTATATTCAGTCCATGAAAAACGCTTTCTGTATAATAATTAGTTTCCCGTCCGAATACCGAAAAATTGAAAAACAATTTTCTGATAATAATTTTCCTTCCAAACAAACAGAGTATAGCTTGTCAGCAAAAATGGAAATTTCTCTTTATTTGGCAAAAAAAATCCTCCAAGCTTCTTCTTTTATGAACAGAAGCAGCTTTGAACACAAAATGAAATTACAGAATTGCCGAAAAAGGAAGATGAAACATACAGATTTAACCTACGTATGTGCAAACAGCAAACAGAGGAAGAAGAACTCAACTTCTGTCTCTCTGTCTCTCTGTCTCTGTCTCTGTCTCTCTATCTCTCTCTCTCTGTCTCTCTGTCTCTCTGGTTCTTGATTATTGTTAGCCCAGAAAGCGTCACACGAACACAAAAGCTAGCTCTGTCTCCATCTATCCTTCTATGCATTCCGAGGAAACGTGTAGCCAACATTCCGCTCACCTACCCTCCTCTGTTCTCTCCAAGAAGTCCTGATTAACAACCCGAAACTTCCTCCTTCCATTTCCCAATCACAGCCGCACTTTGCAACGCACATTGCCCGGGAAATCTTTCTCTCGCGCTGGTTAATGATTACGTACGTCTGCACCCGCCGCGGGGTCCACAGCCTCACCACCGTTTCTTGATTTTCTTTCGTCGGCAATGCCCCACCAAACCCACCAGCACATGGTTGCGCATTTGCGCGGTTGGGCGGATTGAATGATGCTGATGGCTTCGAAGGGCGCGCTGCCCATCTGGGTCTGTGCCAAGGCGGCGCAGTTTCACGTGGGTTGCTCCGATTTGGGGGGTAGGACTGGTGGGTTTGCTGTGAATTGGAGTGTCAAGGGGGATTCGGTGAGGCCTAGGAAATGGGAGTGCCTGAGTGTTGGATTCTTGGCTCAGAGAGCTATCACTCCTGTTGAGGATGAGAAGCCTCAAACTTCTGGGTTGGAGTCGTCTGGGGCCATTGAAAGGACACAGCAAGAGGAGGCCAAGGTGTTTCACAGGGACTTGAATCTTCTTCCAAGTGAGTAGTTTTAATTCTGCCTTTTTTTAAAAAAATTTGTTTGGTGAGTTCCTTGCATTTGGTTATCGTTGACGTAATTTGGTAGCTTTTGAGATTCTATGTAGAATGAGGGAGAATTTATTCATTAATGTCTGCATGAAGATTAGCCTCAATTTGGAATTGGACAAGATCGGTTATTTCTGACTGTGTTTTGAATTGAATTAGCTTGGAGAGTATAGGACTTCTCACGGGGAATGCAGATTGACTTTGGGTTTTGTTATGTGATGCTTGGGGTCTTTCATTTTGGGTGTTGTTGGATCTGTTATGGTTTAACTGGTTTTGCTATGGAGAAGGTGATGATTGAATGAATAATTGTGTGGTTCATGCATGTGATGGATGTGAAAATGAAAGGACATGCCCCACGAAGAAATCTTGCTCCAGAGTATGTGGATGGAATTCATGATAGTTATGTTTGCCTTAATAAATGCTGATGCATTTAGTTGAGAAGTTCTTGATCAAAGGGAAAATGCGAGTTGTTTCAGATTGGAAATCGCACCCGTGAGTCTGAATTTTATGACTTAGTTAGAGGGGATAATGATGTGTGCTTTAAGAAGTAGTAGGTCTAGGAGATTCTTTAGTGAACAGGTTTTGATTGTATTTGGAGTAGGCATCTATCTATGCAAACTTGATCGATTAGAGAAACAGAAAAAAAAAACGAGTTAGCATCTAATTGCTGATAAAGTTTTGTGCTTCTGCGATAGGCTATTTACGAGTTAATGACCATAAATGACTTTATATCATGGGATCAAGTGATAAAAGGAATGTAGATTTGCCCACGACTATCTGCAAATCTCTCCACTCCAACAACTAATGGGGAAAAACGGAAAGAAAATCTTTTCAGATGCATATTTAAGATTCTTGGAGACCATTTTCTTATGCTTGACCGAACATTATTGATCACTTACCAAATCCCGTTGCCTGTCATTGAAACCTAAAAATATAATATTGGCTGTTATAATGTTGGTAAGTTGATGAAATTAAGATTAATTGTTTTGTTATTAAATTCCCAGCTCTCTCCTCTGTCTTTTCGACGATTTCATAAATTTGGTCACATGCATAAATGGCAGAACCGCTGTCTGCGCTGGACCTATATTCTAATTCAAATGACGGTTCAAAAGTGCGAGTTGCTTATCAGGTACAGAACCAGCATTTACCTATTTTTCCCATTCACATTTTCAGAATGCTATATATATGAACTATGATGTCATCAATGCAGGGTGTACCCGGAGCATACAGTGAGGCTGCTGCTCTAAAAGCATACCCAAAGTGTGAGACAGTTCCTTGTGATGAGTTTGAAGCTGCATTCAAGGTTTAAGACACTGCTACAGTGTATGCTCAACTGCTGATAATGCATGACCAAACCTAAATTTGGTTAAGTGTTTTTCTTTCAGGCAGTTGAATTGTGGCTAGTTGACAGGGCAGTCTTACCTATCGAGAACTCTGTAGGTGGAAGCATCCACCGTAACTATGACTTGCTTCTTCGTCATAGATTGCACATAGTGGGGGAGGTGCAATTACAAGTTAATCATTGTTTACTGGGTTTGCCTGGCACAAGTAAAGAGGATCTTAAACGGGTTTTGAGCCACCCACAGGTCACTTTTTTGCCCATTTTCACCTTCTCCTTTGCCCTGGTTCGTTAAAAAGGAAGGCTGTTTGACTGTATGACCTGCTTGTGTACAGGATATGAGAAATGATTTCAACTTATCATGACAAACTATAAAACTGTGACCAATAGATTCGATCACAAATCAATTGTGATGAAACTGTTAAACTATCTTTTCAGTTGTAGGTTTATGAGCTGTTATTATAACCTTCTCTTCGGATCACAACCTTTTGGTTGCCAACTAGAAATAGGAGCCTGCTGCCAAATCCTAGTTACTTGTTTTAAGCATCTCATATGCTGGTATTTACTGTAATATCTATCTGATGCTACTGACTGTATTAGACATTACGTACTCTCCATGAAAATGTACATGATCCTATTATTCTCCAATCTAACAAGTAACTTATTTACATCAGGCTCTGGCTCAATGCGAGATGACACTAATGGAGTTAGGTGTCATCAGAGTCAGTACTGAAGACACTGCTGGTGCTGCGCAGGTAACTGTGCGGATAAGTCATGCGTCTCCTTTTGATGTCATGCTAAATTACTGATTTTATTATGATTTCAACACAATAATGCTCTGAATAGATTGTCGCCTCCGATGGTCTAAGAGAAGTTGGAGCTGTTGCAAGTTCAAGAGCAGCAGAGATTTATGGACTTGACATTCTTGCCAAAAAAATACAGGTAATGCTTGTTTTCAGGGAATATAGAGGAGTTTGCACTGTTTGGTGCACATGCCATAGTGAATCACCTGTTAAGCTTATCAGTAGTCAGTCTGTTTTCGGATATTTGCTGCAGCAACTCAATGTGAATGTGCATCTATTACTAGAAATCTCCAGGATAACAATGCAGCCCAGAAGTTTTAATGCATCAATGTCGAGATATCTGAGAATTGTCTCACGATATTACTAGTTTATTTTAAACCTTTTAATGCATCGCTTATGCACATCCATTATGCATCAATCATCAGTGTATATGTCAAACTACCATACTCTGCTCCTTTTACATAGCATTAGTCATAAGGTTTGTGTAGCATGTGTTTCTTTTGCATTTGTCTTTCTCACGATCATACTTGATTGGGTTTGTTTCCCCTTAACATTTATCAGGATGATGATGATAACATCACCCGTTTCCTTATACTTGCTAGAGAGCCCATCATCCCAGGAACTGACAGACCCTTTAAGGTATTACATTGCTCAATGACGTTTTGACGTACTCCTCTTAACACCACCATCAACAGTACTTTCTTCTTTTCCTTTTTTCACTTTTTCTTACATCTTTCCATCAGACAAGCATTGTTTTCACTCTCGAAGAAGGTCCTGGTGTACTATTTAAAGCCCTTGCAGTTTTTGCTCTTAGGGACATTAATTTGACAAAGGTATGTTTTACTGTGGTCGATTTGGCCTTTGCTTGTACCACCAGCGGACATTTTTCCGTTACATTCTCTAGTGAAATTTCAGATAGAGAGCCGTCCTCAGAGAAAACGTCCATTGCGGGTTGTGGATGACTCAAATAAAGGCGGTGCCAAGTGAGTGGTCTTGTTGTCAACTGGTTTTCCATAAGATAGTGATAATGCAATTTCTGTTTTCTGAAAGAGTAGGGTTTATCTTCTACTTTTGGGGGATGCAGAGTTTATTACAAGTTACATGCTTTGGTATCTGACTATTTGATATGGAAACATGGCAGGTACTTTGACTACCTTTTCTACATTGACTTTGAAGCGTCCATGGCAGACCCCCAGGCCCAACATGCCTTGGGACATCTGCAGGTTTGTTGTTTCACATCTTACTAGAGATCGGTAAATTGGAAATTTGATGTTCTTTAGAGTTTAAATTGTACTCTAGTATCAATTCCTAGGAAGCAGTCCATTGTCTTATTCTTTGCCGCTTCCAATTTTTCAGTTTACTTCCTGATCTGAGGGTGTATCAAGGTTCAATGGTTTAGCCATAATCAGCTCTCGCTCACTCTTGTTCTATTTTAATGTGTACGCGGAGCACTGGCAAATTCATACTAGAAAGTACCATAATGTAATCTTCTTTTTTTGTTTGCCTGCATTGTTTGCAGGAATTTGCTGGTTTCCTTCGTGTCCTTGGCTGCTATCCATCGGATATTGTTCCATAGAGAGATTCTTTGAGTACCTAAATGCGGATTCACATTCTGAACATAAAACGCGCATTCTGTTGCCAACTCTAACTCTCCATCTGTGCACATCTATACTCCAGAAGAAGGGGGTTAAAAGACGGCATTTGCCATTCTTATAGAGTTATTGTTGGTAGGAGCTTTTGTTTGTTAGGATCATTCTTCGTCAATTCTTTGAGGATGACGACAAGTTTCATGTTATCAAGCTTCGCAGGCGTCACCGAAAGGCCCGAGATTAAATCATTCTTTTATTCCTCATCGGGCATCACGTCTATTGTTTAGATGCAAATGAACTTGCATTGTCTAGCGACGCCGCCATCATTAGTCCATGCTTTTTTCTTAAGGTTCATTTTCTTAAGTTCTCTTGATTTTGAAAACTGCATTATTCAAGCAGTTCGTCTGTGGAGACTGGGCTGAAGCGACCCGGTAAGAATTTAGTGTTTGGACTGGCAATAAAAGAACTATGAATATGAGCTCTACATGATTGGAAATAAGATCATTGCTGAATGGTTGCTGAAAAGCTAAAACATTGCAGCATTTCTTTTAGGCCAGTGTTCAATATGACAACAGATCATTGCAAGATTTAATCTGCCCTTTCTCTCTCCCATATCACCAAAAGTTTAGGGCAAAATTGGGGCTGAGGCGAAATTAGGGATTTTAGTAGTTCATTCGAGACGTGAGGAGCTCTTAGGGAAAAATTAGCAGATTTTAGCTCTCGGCTCATTTTTCTCAAATCTGGCTCCCCAAAATGACATCGTTTGAGGTCCATGTCACGCCCTGATCATTCGAGTTGATCATTCGAGTTGTTAGCCACGTGTGTTTTTACGTCACTAATTGAACGAGAATATTGATGGAAGCTAACGGAGGATAGATTTGTCGCGGGTGCACAAGTTTAAGATTTTTTTTCTGACACAACAAATGTGGCACGAAAGTATTCATTTGGAAATTTTTCGTGACACCGAAAATTAATTCGGGAAAATCATGACATGGGTATAATCAATTCGAGATTTTTAGTAGTAATAACCACTTTTTTTTTTGTATATTTCTTTCCAAATGGTTTTGTAGAATTGCGAGATCGAACTCATTTTTCTACCTTCAAATAATTGGGTAGGGAAAAAGCGGACATCTCCAACCAAGATTGCCGAAAAGCAAAAGTCACCCCAAGTTTCCATCCAAATTCCAAACGTTACAAGTCCTTTTCCTCTCCTTTTTCTTTGGTCAACAACTTTGCATCGCATCGCCCTCCTTTGAAGTACAGAAGTTGCTGGCTAAATTTAATTTTGCATGCTGCTAAATGACTTTCTTGATCCTTAAAACTACGCCAAAACTCAAACCTATGTTGCTTCAACACGCTCCTCGGTCGAATCCAAACCCAGATTCGGCTTTCGACAGCGAACGGACTTCTGCACACTCCTGTTCTCTACGTCTCTCTCTCTCGCGGTGAGACAAGTTGACCGTAATTGAGAAAACCGCAGAGCGTGAGGTTTCCATCCGTCAGTCCCCTTATTTCCTCGCTGCTGTTCGACGTAATGCCACTGTCGGCAGCTGAAGCTGAACTGGACGATGAAGAAGCGCAAGCAAACGTATTTCGGTAATGGCGAAGGTCGGGATGGTTTCTGTTTTCTTGACCGCCGTCTTGTTTCTCTGCTCTGGAATTCCAGGTAACCGGCACTTCAGTGCATGAAATTCAAGAAAACGCAGGGGATTAGATTTTAACTGGGTCTCTTTCTTCGTTATCTTGAATTGCTTCTGCAGCTGGGTCATCTCTAGTGGCGCAAATTAAGCAAACCCAGGACCTGAAAGACGAACCCTTTGTGGGGTTGAATATAGGGACGGAAGTTTCGAATCTTGTTTCCCCCGAAGCTCTGGTGTCGTTTCTCCAAGTGCAGAAGATCGCCCACATACGTCTCTTTGATGCGAACCCGGACATTCTCCAAGCCCTGGCTCGCAGTAAGATTCGGGTAATCATCAGTGTTCCCAATAACCAGCTTCTTGCAATTGGATCCTCGAATGCCACGGCGGTAGCTTGGATTAGCCGAAACGTCGTTGCTTACTACCCGAAAACCCTAATTACAGGCATTGCAGTTGGGGATGAAGTCTTGACCACAGTACCCTCTTATGCTCCCATTCTTGTGCCTGCAATGGAATTGCTTTACAGTGCTTTGGTAGCTGCAAATTTGCATAATGAAATTAAGATTTCGACCCCACATGCCGCGCCACTGATTCTCGACACATTCCCACCTTCTCAAGCTTTCTTTAACCAGAGCCTTAGTTCAGTGATAGTCCCTTTGTTGCAGTTCTTGTCTAGGACCGGCTCGCCATTGATGATGAATTTGTACCCTTACTATGTGTTCATGGAGAATAAAGGTGTAGTTCCTCTTGAAAATTCGATCTTCAAGCCAATAGCTCCATCCAAAGAAATGGTTGATCCCAACACTTTGCTTCATTATACTAATGTGCTCGATGCGATGATCGACGCTGCCTATTTTTCAATGAAGAATTTTAACATTACGGATGTCAAAGTTCTCGTGACTGAGACGGGATGGCCATCGAAGGGTGATTCAAAGGAGCCTTATGCAGCCATTGATTATGCAGATACTTACAATTCAAATTTGATTAAACATGTACTTGATAAAAGTGGTACTCCTCTGCACCCGGAGATCACGTCCAATGTGTACATATATGAGTTGTTCAATGAGGATCTTAGATCACCTCCAATATCTGAAGCCAATTGGGGGTTGTTTAATGGGGACTTGACGCCGGTTTACTTGCTGCACGTATCAGAAACCGGGGGCTTTTTGGCCAATGATACAACCAATCAGACGTTCTGTATAGCAATGGACGGTGTAGATTCAAGGACATTGCAAGCGGCACTGGATTGGGCGTGTGGTCCGGGCCAGGCAAATTGCACAGAGATTCAGCCTGGAGAGAATTGTTTTAAGCCAGACAATGTGAAAAGCCATGCCTCATATGCATTTGATAGTTATTACCAGAAGGAAGGGAAGGCTTCTGGGTCTTGTGATTTCAAGGGTGCTGCTATGATCACCACTACTGACCCCAGTAGGCATTCTTCTTTCTTCTTCCATGCTGCTTTCTTGAACGGCATATATATTGGATTTGTGTTATGCCCTGCTTGGCCATGCTTGTAAGGGGCTATGACTTCATTGGCGAATGTGTGGTATGCTTTTCCCTATGAACAAGAGAACACCTTGTCTTAGTAAGATGTATGACTAAATTGGATGAAGATTTTCTTCTCAGACTCGAGCTCATTTTCTCCTAAGAGTGCACATCATTCCTAGTGGTCAATGTAACTAAAGGGTTTGTGAAGGAGTAGCAGTTGTTGAAGTTGGGCATTAGGACTTCCTTGTAAGGAGTAGCACGTTTCCTAAGCTCTAATCATTGAACTAGTGAGTTCTATTGGTCAACCAAACTTCTCGATCTGTCATTTAACTGATTACCTAGTCGATGATTCTTATCTTCCTTATCTGGGTTGAGCTGGAAGACTCCTAAGTGACGATAAACTTAGTGGAGATGCCTCATTTCCTGTGCGATGCTTCTAATTACAAAATAAGCATTCGCAAAATCTTAATAAGAAAAATTCTTTTCCTAGTTGTATTATGTTCTCTGTGCTTCTGAAAGTTTCTAGAGCCCATCTGACGATTTTATTGTTTCATTCAGGTCATGGAGACTGTATCTTTCCTGGAAGGTGAGAAAAGCCATTTCTTCAGTACTTTCTTTTCTTGTATTTATTCCGTCTTTTGTTGGTAAATCTCATTCTCCCCGCATATTGCAGTATGTATGTACTCATTGAATGTGTTAAAACTTAGAAGATTGCTTGATTTGAATCCTTCTTGACGTTCTTGTTACCGGGTAATTTTTAACTCTGGGTGCAGCAAGAAGGAAAGCAATAACACAGGGCAGGCAAATTCCACCGAGTCAAGTGGTGCAGCCAACAAATTAGGACTCATCACCTCGAGAAGTGGCAGGATAGGCGCATTTGTGAGGGCATTTCAACTTCTTTTAGCCACACATTTCTCCCTTTTCTTTTTGATTCCTCTGTTGATGCCGCGCTAAGTTACAGGCCAATTACCATGGATCTTTGGTTGGATGAGATTCATTTATTTGTTATTTTCCCCCGATTCAGATCAGATTTTTTTAAACATCTGTCCCCATTTTCACCAAAAGTTACGACAGAAATAGGTTGTAGATGAGTGTTTGAGGATTCTGATTCTTCCTTCTGTGTACATTATGTAACAAGTTTGTCCATTTAAAGTTTGCAATTTCGAGACATCTTTCCTCTGACCTCGCCATGGCTGTTCCTTTCTTTTGATGCTCTTTTCTTTTTGGTTCTGTTCCCTGAATTGGACACTCTGCCTCTTTCTTTCAAGTCAAATCATAACGGTAAAAATTTGTTCATAGTGTAATGCGTTGCACAGCTTGTGGAATTACTGCTCGACAATATAAAGTGGATCAAACTCAAAAGCATGAAACAAGTCCTTCGTTTTCTATGGTATGTGCTCTCTTTGGGACATATAGAAATCTGAGAAATCAGTGAGAACTTGTTCTTTAATTCTCAAAAAAATCTCAATCATGCGGGAAGACTGGCTGCACTCCATCTTTGATACGCTTGAAATTGAAACTTGATGCCCAGTTTCTTTGTTGCCCTCTACTAGTTTGTTAGAGTGGGAGTAGTTGTACGCTTATCAAAACCCCTATGTGGTCACCTAAGCCAAGTTATTGCAAAGAAATACAAGTAAAATGATGAAGCAAGCTATACACCTATATCATATCAAGCTATATTAACATAGTATACTATTCTGTTACAGACCAAAAGCAAAAGAGGTTTGTCTAGAGATGGCATTTCCCATGAGTACAAATTTGAAATCCCAAGAGAAAAAGACTGGTGGTTTTACAAAGAGGCCCGCAATTTTAGTTCATTTAGGCCAGTGGCAAAATGGCAAAAAATATGGAAGATACATACAAGAGATTCAAGGAAATGAAATTTAGTTTTCCAGCAAAAAAAGAAAAAATTATATAACAAAATTAAAAAAGGAGACTCTGAAGTTTTATTGCTGCTCACCTCACCTATAGTGGAGATAGTCCCCACCCTTGAGAAAAAGAAAAAGAAACAACATATCTTTTGTATATTTTAATTTCTTTGTTTTTCTTTTTTCTTTGGAATCGTTCTAAATTTAAGGGATAATGACACAAATAGTTTTTGAACTTTGGCTCAATATTCAATTTGGTTCATGAACTTTTAATTTGTTTAATGTACTCCCTGAATTTTAGCCTAATGTTCAATGTTGTCCATTAATTTTTAATTTGTTCAATGTGGTTCCTGAAACTTTTGGTACATGTTCAATTTAGTCCCTGAACTATATAAAAATGTATAATATAGTCCCTGAACTTGAATTAATGAAAGAACTATATTGAACATTTTTATAAAGTTTAGGAATTATATTGAACATGCATAAAAAGTTCAGAGACCACATTGAACATTGAGTTAAAGTTCAGAGATTATATTGAACAGATTAAAAGTTCAAGGATCAAATTACACATTGAGTCAAAGTTCAAGGACTGTTTGTGTCATTTTCCTTAAATTTAATATAAGCAAGTCAATTGATGTAGATCCAACAGAAAGACTTTACTGTATTTAAACTAGAGAAATTTCAACTCGTTTCATGAATGAGATATTAACAATTAACCCATAAAAACTTGCTTCCTACAAATACGGGACTAAGGAAAATGAAGGGACTCGGGGACTTTGTGTGTGTGTGTGTGTGTGTGTGTGTGTGTGTGTGTGTGATGTGGTTGAGAACCATGAGAGTATGTATTGGACCGTCCTTGGCTTGTATGACTACTCCACTGATTTCCCTTTGAAAGGCATTAATGGACATGGACCACTGCAATATGTCTAAACAGCAGATTCCATTTGTAGCTGCTTATATATTAAGAGCTGAGAGGCTTGGGTTCAACAACCCCAAGTAAGTTGGCTTGATTCAGGGAAGCTCTCGAGCTGTTAAGAGCCATGAGTACATTTAACTGAGCTCTTGTTCTTGCTCTTCTTCTTTCCACTGTCATTGCTTCCATGAGTACTGTCCACCATGAAATTGCCAAAGAAGTTGATCGGAACAGCTTTTGTCATCGATCAAGCGGCAGGAAGCTTATGGTCGACAATGACAATGATAGGCACTGCTCGTTTAGAAGTTGGCGGAGTTGTGGAACTTTCTTTTGTAGATACGACGAAAGTTTTGAGAAGTGGGGCAATGTGAATGGTAGTGCGGGCTATGCTGGAGCAGAAGGTGGAGGTGGAGGGGTGGCGGCGGTGGTGGAGGAAATGGCACGTATGGCCAGGAGAAGGTTATGGAGGAGGGGCAGGGGAAGGTGGGAGTACTGGAAATGGAAGAGGAGGTGGAGGCGTTGCCGGTGGTGGAGGTGGAGAAGGTGGTTCTAAGGGAGGCTTTGGCGATGGAAGTGGGTTTGGCGCTGGCGGTGGTATTGGAAGTGGAATTGGCAGTGGTGGCGGCGGCGGTGTTGGAGGTGGAGCAAATGGTGGCAGTAGCTCTGGTGAAGGGTTTGGTCAAGGAAGTGGCTTTGGCGCTGGGTTTGTTTCAGGAGGTGATGTAGGGGCAGCTGGTGGTAGAGGCGGAGGTGGTGGGGGTGGTGGTGGTGGAGATTCCACTAAACGGTATGGTCATGGGCGGGCAGAGACGGAGGCAAACATAGCCGCAACGGGAAACCCCATAAGTCCCCATCTGGATGTCCACATTAAGACCAAGACAGTTTGTGCCAAATTCGTCTATTTGGTGATACAAAGACAAGCATCACAACAATCATTTTCAAGTGCCAGTGCAAATGCAGAAGGCCATTAAGTGATGTAATAAGTCATATACTCAGCTTGTATCTTCTAATTGCGAAGGTAATCTGAACATTTGTATAAGCTAAAAAGAACGATGGCATGGCCTAGACTCGAATATTTGGGAAAACATATTCACAGATTTGCGTAATTATTACACATTACTATACACGAAGACTAGTGAAAATTTCTGGGTCACTGAGCATTATTGAACTTAAAATCTACACAGTTCTTACAAGGGATGATATGCTTGAAAAATGAGTACACCTCAATCAGGAGCACTTAGACTCTTGGCCACTGTGGACTCACTACCTGCACAGGCCAATAAATAATCTCACCATCAGAAATACGTCAAATAGATGCATATAACAACTCGAAATCCATCCTCATCATAGAACTTGAATAGCATAAGGTTAAACTAATTTACAAGACCGCTCAAGCAAAAAAAGGGGAATCAAATGGCCAACGAAGAAGTTTACGACATAATGGTCGAATGCAGGGTGTCTATGTCATTTATCTTTCTGGTTTAGCATCTCTTGCACTCTATAAAGTCACGTCATTCAATGCATCACTTACAATGAAAAATGCATGGAGATTGCATATAGTGGAAGGATATGAGACCGGGACATCCACCGTGTATCAGTCTTTAAAATTTCAGAAGATGCGTTCTCTGAACATTTGCACAGAAATGGGAAAGATTGTAGTAGAATAGGAGCTAACCTCGAGCGTACTAAACACCAGACGCATTCTGCTAGCTACTACCGATGGCTCTTCTGAACGGCCCATCACAGCCATCTGCTCCAGTTGAAGAGTTTTCACTGGAAGCCTTAATATAATCATAGAGTTGAACCGCTATCAACATGAGATTCTAAACTAAAAGGCGGCATGCGAGGACAAGTAGTTTCATTCTACGAATCTTGTGTCACCATAAGAAGGCTTGCATTCAGAAATCAATAATAATGATACGAAGAAAGCAAAAGCTCACCATGCCATTCCCCTTATATAATACGCATTTGCTATGACAGCACAGAATCCTTTCCACTGGAGTAGTATTTCTTCCGACACTGGCGGGATAGATGACCATCTAACAACTGTTGGTTGTGGCGTGCACAAGATGGTAATGAATATAATGCTCAACCACAGTATGCACTCATCAATCTGCAAATAATGAAAACCGGTGGACATCTTAAAACAGTCGAACGCATTAATATTGGAAAGGGAATAAACTAAGAATAGGATCAGTGTAAATTAAAGAGCCCAAAAAGTCACCAAGAACACTGGAATGCCACTATTATTATATAGTTCAGGAAGTTTACAGGTTCTAATCAGTAATTACCTCCTCAGAGATGATGTTAGATTTTAGAGTGGTGGTTCCACCATAAGCTTGCATTGCTTCAATCTCGATGCCAGATTCCTTCATATCGTTAAGTTCGTCCCTCAATCCTTCGTCGGTGCAGCCGAGTGCGTATGCATTAACCCCAGCACTGATGAACTCCTGATACAGGGAAAAGGTTTTGACTTACAAAAGACAACAACTCAAGTTCACTCATTGAAGATTCAGCAAACTGCTAAATATACTTTTAAGTTGTCACCTCCTCCACGATCAACAGCATTCCTGTACCGCCTAAAGAGACTGATGGCTATGTTTCGGGATGAACGATATTCATCATCAAGCGAACTGGAGTCACCCAGTCGGCACTAGAGCATCACAGCAATTGCACAACCTTTAGCACCAGAAAGAACTAGATCGAGATATTAAAAAAAAATGGAACTCAGATAAAGGACATGCATACTAGCCATCTCTTCGAAGCCACATGGTGAAGGGTCTGAAGTTGAGTGCGTCCTTTGTCGGAAAATGAAGAATTCAAAACGTTACTAGTACTCCTCACAGGAACGAAAACTGCACTTTTATTGGAGCAAATCACATGGTTAGCTCTGCATGAAACGGTCCCACGCAGAACCGGATTCTTTGGAACTGCCTGATAATTGCTAACACTGCCCATTACTGTTAGCATGGTTGTACCATGATAAATCTTCATTCAGCATTCCATCCCAAAACAGATGACTGTAAACCTGATAAGATTAACGAAACCAACATGTCAAGAGTTTGAACAATCAACAAAACCAAAGTTCAGCAACATGGACAGATAAGGACTTGAATTTCTCCATATCCAGAAAAGAATCTGCAAATCCACAATGGAATTTGCTAACATATTTTCTAATTGCCCTGACCTATTAAAATTTAGCAATCAAGAAAAAAAAAACCGTGATTGTAGATAACTTCGGCACACGAAAACAAAAGAAAAACATTCACATCATTTAGATATTGGCTAATAGAAACTCCAATGCTTCTTGCAACCCCTCTTTTCTCTGTTCAACTCCAGTATTGAAGTGAAGATAAACTAGAAAACAAGCCAGAAACTTCACTCTCTTACGTTTCTTCCACCTAAATTTGCATCTAAAAACAACATGGAAACAATTGCATCAGCACGCACAAGCTTGCCCCCTAATTGACAACGCCTCGACGCAAAAAACACATCGTTCACAGCAAAAAGCAATCAAACACCACAAAACTTGTTTGCATCAACGAGAACCCAGCAACAGAACCCATGAACCGCGAAACCCGAAATGACCCATCAACGAAAACGCGAACCAGCGACGGAAAAACAGAGCTGCAGGGTTACCCACCTCGTCAAGAACGAGACGAGCTCATCACACGGGATATGCGAAGACAAACTGTGCTTTTCCACGCGAGCAAGCATCATCCAAACGAGGGGCGAGACAAAGGGAGTGTTGGAGCGGATGGACCCAATAGCTATCAAAGATCTTGGGCGAGAATCTGCTCTCGGCCACCAGTTATTTGCATGGCTCTGGAGATTCAGTGTGGATTCTCTTACCTCGAATTCTCAAGACTTTTTCCTCTGACAAATTTTGGCGGCCATGAAAATTAACGTGCGGGGGGCACTCTCGTTGGTTTTTGTCCTGTCTTCTTCGGTCGTTTGGGAGAGAGGAAACGGCGCCGTAATGTGTAGAAGCAAATCCAATTAGTTCATCGTTAGGTGAAGATTATTATAAATGAGAAAACGGGTTTTTTTATTAACAGAGATATATATGTTCCTATAATCTCATAAGGCAAAGGTGAAAAACCAATATGCAAAAAAAGCAGGGCCAAAAATTTGTGGATAAATTATGCTCTCTTTTTTTCCAAGTCATCAAAGTAGGACAAATTCAAGAAATCGTTTCGTTTTAGACTCGTGATAATAACTAACTATGTAAACATCGTAAGTAGGGGGAGCAACCGAGCTGGTTCAACTTGGGAATTCAAAGGTTGGTTCACAAGAGGACCCATTCGATTCCCGCTCTAAAAATTGAGAATCGACTTTGATTGGTTCGGTTTTTGATTCTGTACCCCGAACTAGCCGATTTGCTCGGGGAGCCTGTAAAGTCGATTCCAAGATAGAATCTAGAACCAAACCAAATTGCCACCAATTTTAAGTAAATTTGTTACTTTTTTAAAAGTCGATTACTTTTTTTGAATATATAATAAAATGAAAAAAAATGCAAAATAAATCCCGATTAGTTCCAAAGTCAAGCTGTGATTAGTTTAGCTTTCTCAAATGACTTTAAGTCTCTAAGCCCCTTGGGAAAAAGTGAGGCATTTGGTTTAGTTTTTAGGACTTCTTTGGCCGAATGCTGGCCTTGGCAAAGCGGAAAGCCAAAGATAAGTTCCCACCTGCTTTGGCTTTCGGCATTTGCAGAATGTCATCCTTATCGTTAAATGATTTTTTTCCCAAAGCTACCCTCATCAATTCTTTCATTTTTTTGGTTTTGCCCTCATTGTTACTGTTCATCTTCTATACGCGAGGACAACCGGCAAGGCTAGATCTGGCCGGCATAGGGCCGACAAAAGGTCGGCGAGGTTGCGTGACCTAGGCGACAGTTGCTTGGGGCGATCACTTGGGCTCACAACCTAAGGTGGCCCTCGCTGGGGTCACGCAACTTAGGCGAGGGGCCGCTAGACCCTCACGACCCCGCCGAGGGCCATCTGAGGTCAAGCTATCTAGACTACCCTCGGCCTCCTGTGGAGGTCATTTCCAAAATCGAATTTGAATGCAACCAAAGTAAGAAAAAGTTTGCTACCAAAAGTTGCTTTACAAAAATATTTCTACCAAACGCAATTTAAATTTTCCCAAAGTTCATTTCCAAAGCCAAAGCAAACATACCCTAAGATCCGTTTTCGATTCCAAAAATCAGAAACCGATTCTGACAAGGCAGAATTTAAGTTCCAGATCTGTAACTTATTCACCTCGGAACCAATCACGATTAAAATTGTTTCAGGACATGTCTCAGTAATCAAGTATAAAAGGATTGTGAAGAAAAGAAGGGATTTACGTGTATATGGTAAAAAAAATTCTGGTTATCAAATATCAACTTCTGCGCTATTATTTTCCTCCGTAGAAAAAAAAAAGAACAGAATCTTTTGTTTGTTTCCCCGTTGGTGTTGGAACTCTACTTAGGTAACCTGTCAGATTCCACCGATGATCCAGTACATTCAGTTCTAACTTTAGAAGACGACAGCACCCGACTCATCTTCCTCTCGAGGCCAATCACAGCATCCTCCATCGATGGTCGCATCTCTGGTTTCCTTCCTGGACCATTCGATGCCCGAAGAGCACGGGAACTTCGTGGGGCTCAGCAGCACGGGAACGCCGAGGGAAGAGGATGGGGTTGCTCCCGCTGCGAGCACCACTCAGTGACGATGGGTTTTGATCTGGGCAGAGGAACCCTCCTCCACCCACTACGCACTCTGCCTCACCAACCCAAAAAGAAAAAAAATATAGACCGGCCCTTTTGTTAATTGTCCACCATATCATATAAAGACATCCTCTTTTCTATCACCAGCCTCGTGCATTGCTATGCCCTTCTGGGCTCCGTGATTTGGTTGTCTTTCGTCAAGAAGCAGAGCATCTTCTGGGGTGAGTCCCTCTGTCTCTCCGTGTGCGTGTGGTATTTGCTTAAATGCCCGAGAGATGAAATGGGTTTGTTCTGTTTGATCGACTTTTGGTGAAAGGATGGTGCTTTCTTGTATGGAAGTGGGATCTCTCCGCGGGACACGTTGTTTCTTGTCCTGGGAAAGTGGCTTTTCGATAGGATCTGAATGCCATTTTGTTCTTTTGCTGGAAATGAATGTGGCTTTGGTGAGGACGGATTGATGTTCAGAGTTTCCTCTACCAGTTTTGAGACCATGTAGTGTGTGTGCGTGTGTGCAATATGAAAGCCGCATCTGTTTTGATTTGTTGTTGGTGAATCAAGGCATCGGCTATTGGTTGATTGTGTTTCTCATAGAATCTGAAGCTCTTTCCTTATTATTATTATTATTTTTTTGAGTTTCTTGGGACAATATGATTGTTCTGTTCAAAATGAACTTCTTGGATTTAGAGGGCTGATGACCATTGTCTTATCTTGTGACCTAACGTATAATGACAGCCTGAGGTGATATAGATGTATTTTGTTGTATGTTTTGTCTGGGTTGTGATGTCGTGCTTATGATGTTTTACACAACTAAATGCTGCCAGTTTCCCAGAGGAATATAGCACCAGATTGGACTTTCATGAAATGCTTGAGCTCCTTGTAGAGTTACTCATGCGAACATGGAAAATCTCTGTCAAACAATATGCTTGCTCTTTCCTCATTTGATTGTTTTAATGATGCATCATTTCATCCTTTGCTGAAATATTTATGCTGTATACACTTACCAAACCAATGCCCATCATGACTTGTCCTGATTCAATTAAAGCTGTTGTCTGGAGAATGGGAACTGAGGTGAGATAGGGAAAAAAAACTCTTAAATTTCCCCTGCTCTGGCATGGAAAGGATTCTAAATGAAGAGCAAATAATCTCCGTCTCCATTTCATTTTTGCTCAATTATCAGCCCAGAAAGGATAGTAGGACTAGGCTTAATGTTGCGGTCAAACACAATGATAAACAGAAGAAAGGAAATAAATCGGATACCAGATTTTTGTGGTTTAATCGGTGGGATCTACTCCACACAGAGAGTAGTATAGGATTCCATTATAGATCAAGATACACTACAACCACACTTAAGTTCTTAAACGCTCTCCATATTTTTCAGCCCCTAATTTCTTCAAAAAACTCAAATAGTGTTTAGCCCTCACAATTACTCGCAACCACTATCTTGACCTCACTAAGAAATTCACACATCTTACCACAATATTTATTGGCTTGAACACCAAAAGCTTCTCTTAGATGCATCACAAAGAAGATCCTCTTCTCATATGTACTACATTGCATCCAAATTAGGAAACTCCTTTTAGGAAGTCTACTTAATCTAGGAAACAACTTAAGCTAGGAAACCACTGAAACTAGGAAACCTATTCAAGCTAGTAAACATACTTGGATTTGGTTTCTTTTACTAGCTCAAATTCGAGATATATTTTTAACACTTAATATATGCTCAGAGACAAATCTCCTTGTCTATTGTCCTTATCTTCCCCGGATATCTTACTTATAACGTCTTCTATTTCTTTGACCAGAATTTTCTCATCTAAACATGAGAGGAGGAAGTTTGTGGCAGCTTGGCCAGTCAATCAGTCGCCGCATTGCTCAGGCTGATAAGAAGGCTGTAGCACGTCGATTCTTCGCAAGCGAAGCTGATCTCAAGAAGACAGTGCTTTATGACTTCCATGTCGCTCATGGGGGAAAAATGGTGCCTTTTGCTGGGTGGAGCATGCCCATTCAATACAAGGACTCAATCATGGACTCCACAGTGAACTGCAGAGAAAATGGTAGCCTCTTTGATGTCTCTCATATGTGTGGGCTTAGCCTCAAAGGGAAGGATTGCATTCCTTTCCTTGAAAAGCTGGTCATTGCCGACGTCGCTGCGCTAGCTCCTGGCACAGGGACACTGTCTGTGTTTACTAATGAGAAAGGAGGGGCAATTGATGACTCTGTGATCACCAAAGTCAAGGATGATCTCATATACCTTGTGGTGAATGCGGGGTGTAGGGATAAGGACCTGGCCCATATCGAGGAGCATATGAAGGCTTTCAAGGCCAAAGGCGGGGATGTTTCGTGGCACATTCATGATGAAAGATCTCTCCTTGCTCTCCAGGTTGATCTTACCGAGCACATCTTTCTCCTAATTTCACAGTTTTTGGGCGGACATGTGGATTTCACTACTTGTCTTCATTCTTAAATAGATGGTTATTTTTTGTACTCAGAATGGGCCAAGAAGATTGTCTGATCAACCTATCCTTATTCTTTGAATCGAAACTGATAATATTGTTGATACTAGAATCAAAAGCTTGGTTTATGATAAGATCGTAATTCTCTGAAAGTATCGTTGTTCGAGTAATCAGGCCTTGCTTTGTTTATTAATCTTCTTGTTAACAGATGATACTTCTTTGCATACATGAAATATGGAGGGACAAATGAAAGGTCTCGTGCTGCAGTTTGTAAAGAATTTATTCTAGACTCGGTTGTAACTGGGGGACTGTTCTTTTCGCTATAGCCATATCTGTCATGATTTCTGAGTTCAAAAAGCAGCTTGATTTAGAAAGGGAAGTTTTAATGTTCCAAGTGTCTATTTCAGGGACATAACTATGAGTCCTCCTTTCTTGTTTGTTTTAGGGTCCTCTTGCCGCCCCAGTTCTCCAGCACCTGACAAAAGAGGACTTGAGCAAGATTTATTTCAGTGACTTTCGCATCATTGATATCAACGGTGCTTCCTGCTTCCTCACCAGAACCGGGTATATGAAAATTTTCTCGGTTGATCCTTTTATTGTCTTTTACTTCATGGAAATGACCATCGTTCTTGTATCTCCGCTATCAGCTTGTCCTCCTATATTTGGTCTTTAAAGATCATATGTCGTGTGGAACGGCCTCTCTTGTCCTTCTACAATTGTATGTTCCTCACAAATGAGCAAAGTTGGCTAGATCAATAGTTCTAGAATCTTTTCATTTTTATGCCACTTCCTTATTCTCGTCCAACTAGCATGGGAGCCTATTAAATGGTTCTGTAATTTGCAGTTACACTGGTGAAGATGGATTTGAAATCTCGGTTCCTTCAGAGCATGCTGTGGATCTGGCCAAAGCGATCCTGGAGAAGTCAGAAGGGAAGGTGAGGTTGACCGGCTTAGGTGCTCGGGACAGTCTCCGTCTTGAAGCTGGACTTTGTTTATATGGCAACGATATGGAACAACACATAACTCCGGTGGAAGCAGGACTGACATGGGCCATTGGGAAGAGGAGGAGGGCTGAAGGCGGATTCCTCGGAGCCAAGACAATCCTCAAGCAGCTTGAAGAGGGTCCGAAGATCAGGCGTGTCGGATTCATCTCTTCAGGCCCGCCCGCCAGAAGTCACAGCGAGATCCAGAACGATAAGGGAGCCAACATCGGTGAAGTCACGAGTGGAGGGTTCAGCCCTTGCTTGAAGAAGAACATAGCCATGGGGTACGTGAAATCCGGGTCGCACAAAGCTGGAACCAAGGTTAAGATCCTGGTCCGAGGAAAGGCCTACGACGGCGCCGTCACGAAAATGCCATTCGTCCCCACAAAGTACTACAAGCCATCTTAATTGTCGGATGGTACATGAGCCCCATGAACCTTTTCTCTGTTCTTCCTGATGCCTCTCTGTTTTTGACATGCTTTGAATAACTTGACATTGATAGTTGCAATCAATGATAATCTTCATGTTCATACTCGATTTTCGCAGGGCTTTTTTCTGGAAATTTTTCGTTATTTTCGGAATTTACTTATTTAAGGTAGATCGTCTTCGTAAAAGTATGCGCCGTGTTATTCAACGAATAAGATTTAACATCATTCGGCCACTTGACATTTTCAAGCAAAGCAGGCAAACGTTCGACCCTGCATCGAATTGACTCGCTCGCCACATTATAGCCCAACTTGAGGAAGAAGCAAAAGTCAAATGCCCGAAATTTATGTTGACTTGAACGCCAAAAAAATGAACTCAAGCCAAAAAAACTGACCATTGCCAAATTGAAAAATGACCCGACCCAAACCCGATGCTATGTGAATCTGAGAAAAATCAATTTCAAAAAATGGTCGCCAGGCAATAGTAAATGCTCTTCTAAATCCATTCTATTTGACCAAATTAATCTTAGGATTTACTCATATCCAAACTATATTAGTAATTTTGTCATGAAATTTGAGCATATGATGACAAATTTTTAATCATCGAATATAGTCATCCGCCTCCTATATGTTGTCCATGTAATGCTATCAGTCATTTCATATGGTAGGATACCTTCTATTCTATGCAAAAGTGATCTTTCATACGTATTACCTAAAATTAAAAGATACGCTAACACCGATTCTCAAAATTAGTATAATAAATAACATGACAAATTGTCATTGTCGAAATTGAATATGACTCACTTATTTGAATGTTCACTTGCATTATGTTGTATTCAGGGAAAATTGTCCAAAAAGTCCTAAATCTATTACACTTTTGCCAATTCAGTCATAAATCTTTTAAGTTTGTCAATTTAGTCCTAAACATTTTCACTTCTTTCCAATTGAGTCCATCCGGCCAATTTTGGCCAACCGACGCTGATGTGGTCGCTGGCCGTCCGGCCAACGCTGATGCAACAATTTTTAAAATTTTTTTTCTTTTTTTTTCCTAACTTCTTCCCTCTGGCCAGTCCGGCGAGGTCGACCTCGCCAACCTCTAGCGAAGCTCGCCCCTGCCGGCCACTGGTGAGGGCAAGCCTCGTCGTCGCCTGGGTCACGACGGCGAGGTTGGCCTCGCCAGATCTAGGTGAGGTCAAGCCTCGCCCAGCTAAGGCGAGGCTGGCGTCGCCGTTGCGACCCCCTCGCCCAAATTTGGTGAGGCTGACCTTGCCGGCGGCCGGTGGAGGCGAGCTTCGCTAGAGACCAGCAAGGTCGACGTCGCCGGCCCTTGCCTCTGGCTAGTCGCCAGACCGGCCAAAGGGAAGAAGTCAGAAAAAAAATAAAAAGATTAAAAAATTCAAAAAAAATATTTAAAAATTGCCATGTCAGCATTGACTGGATGGCCGGCGGTCACGTCAGTGCCGGCTAGCCAAAATTGGCTGGATAGACTCAATTGGCAAGAAGTGAAAAGGTTTAGGACTAAATTGGCAAACTTAAAAGGTTTATGACTGAATTGGCAAAAGTACGATAGGTTTAAGATTTTTTGGAAAATTTTCCCGTCATATTCGTGTGATATGTCAATTATGTAGACGGAATTAGAAAAAAATCTAGATGAAAACATATGTAATGACGTATTTAACGTAGATAGAGGTGATGTAACAATGCTTTTATGCTGCAAATTTACGTAGTATTTGGATGTTTGAATTGTACAAAATCGGAGAATAGAAATGGTCAGCCACATGGGCTGAGTCCAACACCTTGCGTTCTACGGTCAAATTTTGAACAACTAGGGCCTCTTCATCTTCCATCGCGTACTTCGCACGTATAAATATGCACCCAGAAGAACCCCTAACCTCCATAACCAAAACGACTCCAATCCTCAAGCAATCCTCACAAAACCATCACATTAACACCCTTGAAACAAACACAAGAGATTAACAGCAACACAAGACTTGTCACCTTCATTAATGGCCGCTTTACAAGCTTCCTCTCTCTTAGTTTCTTCTTCTTCTTCTTCGTCTTCATGTTGTTCTTTGAAGAGAACGATCACCGCTTCGATCCAAGTCCCGAAGCCCTCGAAACTCCGGCTTGCCGTTCCAAGCACTGTGATGACGAAGAAGCTAGTCGAGGAATTGAGTACCAGAAATTCTTACGTCCTCGTTGAGCCGCTACAGATGGACGTCGCCCAGAAAGATAGAGCTTTGGAGCCGCGCCTTTCGCCGACTCCTTCTATCGAAACGATCACGAAGCTCTATGCAATCTTGGAGGCCATCGAAGATAGAGTGGAGATGCACGATAACATTGGCGAGCAGCGAGACAACTGGAACAAGCTCCTGTTGAACTCGGTCAACATGATGACTCTCACTGCCACAACCATGGTGGCCATGGCTGCGGCTGCGCCGGCTCCGTCGCTGAGAGCATGCTCGACTCTCTTGTTTACCGCGGCCACTGGGATGTCGCTCATGATGAGCAAAATCCAGCCCTCGCAGCTGGCTGAAGAGCAACGCAATGCCTCGAGGTTGTTCAAGCAGCTCCAGAGCGAGATCAAGCCAATGCTCGCGCGCCAATCTCCGTCTGAGTCAGACGTGAAGGAGATGATGGCGAAGGTGCTGGCCCTTGATGGGGCTTATCCGCTGCCTCTGCTCGGAGCGATGCTCGAGAAGTTCCCTGCGAAATTCGAGCCTGCTACATGGTGGCCTAGGGTTTCCAACAACCACCGCCAATCTCGAGAGCGGAAAACCATCCCGAACACCGAGCGAAATGGATGGAGCAAGGACCTAGAAGTGGAGATGAGAGCGATCGTCCAAGTCCTCAAGAGCAAAGACAAGCAAGACTACTTGAGGCTCGGGAATTTGGCTCTAAAAGTGAATAAGATAATGGCAGTTTCAGCTCCTTTGCTAACTGGCATTGCCGCAGCCAGCTCGGCCTTCGGTGGCTCAACAGCCACAATGGTGGCAGCCACTGCTGGTGCAATGGCAGCGATCGTCAACGGCTTCGAGCATGGAGGTCAAGTTGGCATGGTCGTGGAGATGTACAGAAACTGTGCGGGGTTTTTTGAGCTTATGGAAGAGACGATCGAAGCGACGCTCGAAGAGCAAGACTACAGCAAGAGAGAGAACGGAGATATGTTCGAGATGAAGGTGGCGATGAAGCTAGGGCGGAGCTTGTCCCAGCTCCGAGATTTAGCAAGAAAATCAATGGCTTCTCGTGTAGAAGGGACTGAGGTGGATGAGTTTGGAAGCAAGCTTTTCTGAACTCGTTTGAACAAAGATACGTAGTGTACATACAAGACATGTACAATGAGGCTCAGAACATACTTCTTTCTTTAATTCTTGATGCATATTTTGTAACAATTAATCCCACAGAAGAACTATCAGAAGCATTAATTGATATGCGGGCCTGATTTTCACAACCACATTTCATCCCACAGAAGAACTAATCTAAATGACAAAGTTGCCAGTAGGGAAAAACTTGTTTCGAAAATTTGGTCTTAACATATTAGCATGAAGTATATAATGATAGAGTCATATGATTCTATGTGGACAAATTGTTAAACCATATGTAGATGCTCAAGTAAATATATGCTCCTAGTCTGGTTTTGACCCATATGAACATTCCACATCTTATTTAATATTCCACTTCTTAAATAAAAAATTTACTTTTTCTAATTTCTTAGTAAACGATTAAGCATTTTCATAAGGCCATGCTCTTAATTTTCATAAACGTTAGATGTGTAAAGAAAAACGAAGGGCAATGCGTCATACGTTTTTCATGATGTGGATACAATCATAAGTTTGAATTCTTAAATGTCTCCTACTGCAAAAACGGTCTCCATGCGAAAGCGGCTTTGAATTTTCTGAAAGAGTTGACCTCATTGACACATGTAATTGTCTTTGCCTTTCGGTCTTGGGCGTTGGCTCTTTCATTTTTTCACCCAAGAGCAGCAATGTGAGCATATTTCTTTATGTTACAATGCCCAAAGGCTTAAATTAATGGGAGGAGCGACAACACCTATATATGAAGCATCCAAATCCGAGGACAAGCAATGTGGGATATTTAACACCATGGATCAAGAACAACACCTGAAATTTTACGAACGGAGGCCATAACATGAAATAAACTAGACAAGAACTCGACTCTGATATGATGTCAAAATGTCCGATAAAAACTCAAGCTGATAAGAGAAGGAAGACCACATATATATAAAAAGCATATAAACCTCGTACACTAGCAATGTGAGGTATTTAACACTTGGTCAAAGTGTTTGAGCCTTTTTATCTTTTTCAAAAGCTCTTTTTTTTTTTTTTTTACATTTTGCTTCAGTCTTTTGTGTTGTTGAAATAACCACATCGCTTGACTATGGGGTTTATATGCTTTTTATAAACATGTGTTTTTCCTCCATTTATCAGTTTAAGTTTATGGGTTGGACATTATAATATTTGTCAAATAGCTTAAATGATTCTATCCTCAATACGAGTGTTTCTCAAAATTCTTGAGTTGTTTAGACTAAATTTTACTTCTAGCTTTTCACTTTTTAGCATATGAAGTTTTGACTTTGGTCAATAGTGAACAACTTGATCTTGAAAACTATATATATAGTGTCATTTGAAATAATCTTAATATAATGAAACGGTCCGACGAGGGGGGAGTGTTTGTTGAGACTAGAGGGCTGGATAAAGAGTGACTCCTAATAGACTTCTAGGATGGTGAATGAGACAGGAATGAATCAAATTGTGCACCAAATGGGAGAAAGCAATTCTGGAATATATATATATATATATATATATATATATATATATATATATATATCTGCGAAACTGAAATTAACTTACAAGAGACATTTGATGTAACGACAACATTTAGTATTGGAACTTCAATGTTAAATGTGCTCCGGTGAAAGCACTACTAGGATAAGTGACCTCTTGGAAAAGTGCCCACTTGTACGCTAAAGGACAAAATTCTGAGGCTCAGTATAGGATGGGCCAAAGAAGACAATATCTCGAGTGAATTAATCCAAGGATATCATAATATATTATCAAAGTGGGACTCTCTCCAGTAGGTGTGTGCT